ACACGAAAGTGTGACGGACGGACAGACGGACAGCCGGACAGACAGACGGAAAGACGGACAGACGGACGGAGCCTATTTCTATATCCCCCTTTTTTCTTCGAAAAGGCGGGGGACAATAAAATGCATACTTGGTTCCACATAACTTTACCTTGTGCATCTGTTTACTCTGGATGCAGAAATATATGATACGTGCACTGGCTTTTTGTGGGTATGTTGTAGAAGCAGAAAACAAAAATAGCTTATTTTAGCTAAATGAAAATCATCAAATTTTATGTTTTAAACTATTTCTTATTTCACCTACAAGAAAATTCTGGCTTTCTTTAAGTCAACATCAGGTTTCTTATTATAAAGGACATTTACATTTTCTATTTCATACAATAATGTTTTCCGTTGCATGAAAATGTTCCAATTTTTTCCAATCCATTTTTTAACGTTCAAAGAAATAATCATATTTTTAAACTCAACAACTTGTTTTCATCTACAAAAAAGATATTTCAATTTACACGCGCAATAATGTTTCCTTCTGCAAGAAACTTTGTCCAATTACCCCTGACATCCTTCACAGAGTAATGTTTACTGTTACATTTTATGCACACAGTAAGATTTTCTCCCACAGGAAATTTATCAAATTTTATGAACCCTTTTTCCCCCTCCAATTAGACAATCATTAAATTTCAAGAAAGCAATAATGATTTCACCTTATTATCATGCCATTCAAACATATTTTTCTCACTCAAAATTTTCCACTTGCAAAATGGACAAATGCTATTATCTTTAAATGATTTTTAGATGAAACTCAAATAAAAGAACAAGATGAAAGGGCTGTAAATATTTAATGAATTACTATCATGACCCATTCTGGGTGTTTTTTGTTCACCACTGTCCTGACTGAGGGCTAAAAATCGTAGTAGAAATTCTTGGAATAAACGGCATATTATTTCCACCTTGGGTATTATTTATTGTATACATGTATAAAATGCATTCCAATTTGAGTTGCCTCCCTTTCATTATTCATTGGAGAAAAACCATGACTTCTTGTGGCCAATTTTGACCCCGAAGCTACAATTTCAAAAATTTTGCTAGGAATTCACAGGACAATATTTCATTCTAGATATTTAAGCTATATCCCTTGTATTCATTAAGAAAAGGATGTTTTAGATTCTAATTATATTTATATAAGAAACACACATTACCCTTCATCTGAAACTGTGCATGCAGTGAAACAAAAATAGCTGCAGCTTTAAATAAAAAATACTTTGTAGTCACTGGATCAAAATCTAGGTCAACTGATTTGCACCATTGAAATACGAAAAGTAGATCACAGAGCTATAATCTCGAGTCGTTGGCTGTCGTTCCAAGGACTATGCTTTCAAAAAATTTGACAGAGGTCAACCAGACAATTATTACTTCTAAGTATCAAAGCTATAGCCTATAATGTACAATCAAAACATTCGTATGAATCACGTAAATACTGTTACAAAATATCTTTAAATACCTTGTTTGGGGTCAAACTTTATTAAATTACATTAGCAGCAACAAACAAAATGTATGTAATACTCCCATTCTTATCCTTTTGACTCTCAAAGTAAAGCTGCAAAAGGTCTAACTTACATCGGTTTATTAGATTCTCTGGTCCCCGAACTTCAATTGTATCTTTGGGGCCATCTTTGTACTCTCCATCACCTTCTTCATTGCCGCTCATTCTGTGAACGTGTTTTTTATATTTCAAAAGCTGAAAAAGATAAATAATGGATATAGTTATGATATACATGAGCAAAAATGTCCAAGATATGATGAGAAAATATTTGAACCATCCGAACCAATACACGTTCTATCTGTTTCGCGAAGATACAGCATGCATTATACTAGAATTAGAATTGTGAAAAAGAGCTTAGCCATGTATTAGCATGCGTTTAAATTGATGAAACCATGGCTAAAGCAATGACTTGTTAATTATAAGAAAATACTAATTCTATGTAAACTTACAACGAGTACAAATACAAAAACAAGAGGGCAATGATAACCCTTATTTCGCTCACCTAAATGTAAAGGCTCTTAAAGACAAGGAACCATCAATATTGTAAACAATAAATAGAACGACGATATCAAGCCTTAATCTTTTATCCAATATCACAATGTTTCTATCATTTTAAATATTTCACATGTAAAAACCTTATTGTCTATTTTTTCACATGGAAACTAATAGTTACTATAGATTAGTAAAAATCAGAATCCCTAAAGAATGCCAAAAACGGAAAAAATGAAATTGTTGCATACTCGGTTATATTGAGCGTGTTCATAGACGGTAAATGGGACTTCAAGCTACCTTTCACGCCGCCTAGCACCAGCTACAGCAGAATTCAACATTAGATATGAAAGTGGTGATATTTTGAATATAGAAGCATATGCTAATGTGTTCATACGGCCGTTAAAAGAACGCGTGTGCCTTAAACGAAAAACCAATGAGCTGAGCTGAATAAAATGGGTGTCAGAGGCTATGAAGCCTGTGTATCACAGATAACAAATCAAAAGACAATTTAACAAGAGCAGCTTTAAGGCGAGACAATATACGCTCGAATAGTAATTTCGCACAGTACTCAAATATAATTTATAAATCAGGGTAGAGATTCAATCAAGAAACTAAAGTATGAAACAAGTTTTATCTTAATTATCCTTATGATTATATATGACCTCAATGGTGTTAAAGGTATGATTCATATGACTTAAATGGAGGTCTGCTGGGTAATCCTTTAAGCAAAATATAGTGACATAGTTATTATAATATCGATCAACAAGAAGGTCAGATGTGTTTTCCAATAACTTGGTTTTTATAAAGCAAGTGGCACCCGGTTAGGGGCCAATTTTGACCTGATGGTCAATAGTTGAAAATTGAGAACTGCTCATCGCAACACTTGAAAGTGTAAGAAAATTAAGTACCGCTCAATGCATAGAGGTGATATTTGCAGAACATTTCTTATCTTGCTGCCACAACTTATTATCTTGAGGCATCATATTATCCTATCTGCCTCTAAACTAACCAAAAGAAATGTATGCGTCTACATAGGCCCGTGTATATACTCCAACACAATTTCTACAGCACATAGCCTTGTCATTGCACGACAGAAATTGATATTTCAAACAAAAGCACCGCTAGGCGGAGCATTATATGCCCTAAAGTGATTTTTTAGAAAGGATGAAGCATTTGTAAGACATGGAAATTAAATAATTTTACTACGACGGATGCACAAAATGACGTCAGGGATATAACATAATATATTTAAGCAAACTTTTAGGGCATATAATTAATGTACTCAATATAAGTGATCATCGTATGAAGTTTGACAGTTGTAAAACTTTTAACAATATTAAGGTCATTTGAAATTGACCTTTGACCTTGTGACCCCAATATAGATATGGATCTTTTATTCAACATAAGCAATCATACTATAAAATTTGAACACTGTAAGCCAAATGGAACTTGTGTTATGCTCCGGAAAGCACAATTTTCAGTGTTAAGGTCATTGTGACTCTGACCTTTGATCTTATGAGCCTAAAATCAATAGAGGCCATGTATTGGACATGGCTGTTCATCCTTTAAAATTGTACAGCTGTAGGTTGATTACTGCATAAGTTTATTGAGCATAAACCGTTTTCAGTTTTAAGGTTATAATGACCTTGTGACCCAAAAATTAAAAGAGGTCTTCTACTCAATATTTACAATCATCCTATGAAGTTTGAACACTGTGGGCTACATGAAACTTAAGCTCCAGAAACCACAATTTTCAGTGTAAAAATCATTGTGACCCTGACCTTTGACCTTATAACCCCAAAATTAGTAGGGGTCTTCAACCCAATATGGACAATCACTCTATGAAGTAAGAATATTGTGGGCCAAATGGAACTTATGTATGCTCCGGAAACTGTTTTAAGGTTTTAAGGTTATATTGACCTTGACCTTTGAATTAGTAATCCCAAATTAAAGAGGGGTCTTTCACTCAATATGGACATCATCCTATGAAGTTTGAATATTGTGGGCCAAATGGATTTTAAGTTATGCTCCGGAAACTGTTTTCAGTTTTGAGATAAAAGTGACCTTGACATTAGACCTTGTGACCCAAAAATCAATAGGGATCTACTACCCGATATGAACAATCATGATATGAAGTTTGAACACTGTGGACCAAAAGGAACTTAAGTTATGCTCCGGAAACTGTTTTCAATTTTGAGGTAATGGTGACCTTGACATTTGACCTTGCGACCCCAAAATCGATAGGGGTCTTCTACCTGATATGGACAATCATCCTATGAAGTTTTAATACTGTGGGCCAAATGGAACTTAAGTTATGCTCCAAAACCTAATTGCTAACGGACGGACGGACGCCAGGGGGTATAACATAATATGCCCGAATTTTTTTCGGGCATATAAAAATGGGAAAACATTTACAGGTTTATTTTAATCGGTAATTCAACAGCAACATTGTGGCGAGAAAAAGACAGACTGGCAAACATTTCTTACGAATCAGACATACTGATCTGATAAAAAATAGTTAAAGTTTTTCTCACAGGGTATTGGCAGACGTACAGTATTAGAATGTATACAATAATGTAGAGCTCTAGCCCCTATTAAAGGGCGAAGTGAACAAAGTAAGCAATTATCATAGTATTGCAAGCAATACATAAGTCCCCTACCCCAGCAACATTCTCGAGGCCAATGGTCATTCAATTATGTCATTGAAAAAAAAAATCAATGATTAAATGATACGAAGAACATCAATCTTTTGAGCCCTCAGTTTGTCAGTAATATAGTAATGTGTTAAAAAATTATCCTGCCTAGTAAGAAAATTATGTTTATACAACAGATAATCAAAATATTCAGTTTCTAAGTAAACTTATGTTTGAACTTTCCTCTATTTTAAGTAAATTTGTTGGAAATTACCAAGTTGTTGATGTAAAAGTGATCTCAGGAAAAGCAACAACAGTTTTCAAATAAATTTCAAGTTCAGAATGAACATATTCATGGATACTAAGGCGCTAGAATTATAAATTTAATCACATATGATATTTTAAACTTGAAGTAAATGAAGAAATATGGAAGTTAAAGAATGAATAAGAAAACTTCAAAGTTTAAGGAGGAGATAAATCTTTTAATATGAATGCTATGCTTATTACCTTGTCATATTTTTAAGATGTGAAGAAGTATAAAATGGTTATTTGTAGAACAAAACTCTTAGTATAAGGGGGTAATAATTCTGGAAATAGTCAAGTTAGAGTATTGAATCTTCTCACACATGATTTGAGTGATGATAAAAAATATATATATAAAGTTTGAAATAGGTACATTAAGAATTAAAAAGGTTATAATAAGACTGACACTTCTAAAACAGTTGTATGTTAGATAAATCAAAGGAAGCGGTTATTGTTAAATTGTAAAATATATATTCATGTTTGAATAAAGTGATATTTTTATGTTGGATTTTCATGTTAGATATAAACATATAAGAAGTTTTTGTTTTTTTTGTTGTTGTTTTTTTGGTAATTAACCTCACTTCATAAGTGGAACATTATACAAGAGCTAGGATTGCCGAGTTAATCGTCGCTTTTTGGGGTAAAATGTGATTTTGTCGGTGTCTATTGTTCAAACATATAATGGTGAGCAATCAACAATTCTATATACACCTCATACATAATATGTACTTAAAGTCAAATCATTTTAAGAGAAACCGCTAAATATAGTTATCATGAACTATCAACAATTTACATAGGGGTATATGTACGTCACTTAGTAATCCCAAACGTTCACTGTTCATGATCGCACCTGCATAATGGTTAGCAAATCTTACATCTGTGTGATATCGGACTATTTAAAGGTAATACTAAGGCAATTACCGATATTTCAATGCTTAAATTATGAAAAATAAACTAACTTAAGTTTGTTCTACACGATCAAATATAGAATTAGTACCGTTATGCAATTGTTAATCAATGTATAATCAAATGTATGGTAAAACAATAAAATTCAAAAATATGTGCTGGTGAAAATTACCAATCGCGTTACGGAATAAAAACGACTTTCTAAATATTATTTCTTTCATTGAAGAACATATCAAAACACTTTTATTGTGTTTATTGTAATCTATGTATCGAAATATATTAAAAAAAGAAAAACATGCACATTCTTGGCCACAGACCTTTAAGCATATTTCTCGATTCAATGACAAATACTTCACTAATATTCTTTTCAACCGCAATAATGACGCTATTCCGCAGTTAAACTCAATGGTATTTTAAATCTATAAGAAAGAGAATTTCAAGGAAGATAATGAGCTGACAAACCTAATTTCATCTGTTCTAACGACACTTAATATATTGTCCAAGCAACAGGGAACACTATCAGGTCTTACTTACTTGAAGTGATTAATCAATTTTTCGATTGTTATTTTATTTCAAGCGTCAAGATGTTTTCCAAGTATTTCTCATTACCCATATATGGGCTGATATACATTATATTAATCGGAATAAACACTTTAATGTCAATAGAATAAGGAAGATATTACATCACGTGGGTATCATTGTTTAATTTAACGGACACTAAATAAGAAGAGTAAATAATTAAGAGACCATTGTTCTGTTAAGTGGATGTGTGTATAGTTAAATTAAACGTCGTCACTAATAATTTTCAAAAGCGTTGTATAAAATCAAGTTTTCAGAGTCCAAAAATATTTAAAAAAATTGTCTTGAATGAATCAGAAAATATTGCATTTTGAGAATCTTTGAAAAAAAAAAGAAAATGTCAAATTTGACCACTATGTTGTAAATGTCATGTGACGGCTCAAAAATGTGCTAAAATGTAAAGCGGGTATAATAAGTAACTGTACTGCGCATAAAATATATAAAATGAGCAGTGAAAATGATTTAATGGATTATGCCTTCATCATCTTCATTGTAGTATAAAAATAGAACGAGTTCAATAGAATATTATTATACGAGGCTTGCATTACCCTTTTTACACGTGCCTTTGGTGCTGTGATTACACAATGATCACGATTGTGTTTTCTCATAATAATGCTGTCCTGAATGTTATAATAAGCTGTCAAAAGACACCACCTATTGACAAATACCCATTTTACATCCCTTGGTGTTCTTTAAAAACAGGGTTTTGTTGTGAAATGTATATGTAAAAGTAAGTTACTTTATATTATTTGAAAAATTGCGTTTTCTGTAAGATAAGTATGAGAAAAACAATTAGATTCCATTCTAACTGAAAATTATTTGGTTCGATTTCTTCTATTCGTTTTTACTATGCAAATTGTTGAGCTATGGTGATCCAAAATCATATTGATTTCACGCTTTATAAGATTGAAACAATGAACTTCCAGCGTTTGTCCAATGTGATGTCCCAATATAATAATTATGGGATCCAATATGAGCAGTTCGGCTAAGTAAAATTTAGAAATTAGATTTTATCAAGCCACTTCAAAATTGTTATATCTGAGTCTTTAATTTTTATATATAACAATGATTTAAATGATATTTAGTCAAAAAATACCAAAAACTGATATTGATTTATGCCTTGAGTTTGAATTTATAATACCTAACACAGTATATTCATGGTATTTGCTACACCCAGTAAACGAAAATACTATACCCGCAGTACACTTGGAGTGTGGATTGTTGATCCCAGTATAGATATTTTAACAAAAATTTGTGTGTAAGTACATGAGGAGAGGGTAGGAATACTGCCTTTTCAGAATTTTTATATTTGGACGAGATTGATAAAGAAACTAGAATTTTTTGTACATTGGAAATAATTTCTTCCGTAAACAAAAAAGAACGTCAAATCATGATTTTTGTTTTGTTCATATTTGTACATATATCAAATCAGGCATGCATTAAAGGAAATGTTCAGTCAAACTCAGATTAAATTAGTGCCATATGAGCTCAAGAATAGAACTTTTTCTTACCTCCAGTAATTCCCTCCGACTTAGGTTTGACTCAAAACACGGTTATATCCGGTGTACCTTCTTTTCCGTGAAAAAGGAAGAATAGTCGTCTAGTTGTTCCGATTGTAAGGAACTCAATGGAGCCTGATTTGTATGATATATATTTCCAGTAATATATCTTCTTCACCTGTCTTATAATATTAATACGAATATTAATTAATACACACACGCTGGATTATTTTAACAAAATTACTTCTATGAAACAGATTTAACTATTTGGATATGGTGTCTGTAATAAGAGTGGTATTGAACTGAATATTTCATAAGATTAAGAGTTTAATAATTTTATTTCTAAGTATACTCACTCTTAAATTCCTTCCCGTTGCACTACTTTGAAGAATGTGAATTGATTGAATGTATGACGCGGATCGTTTACATTTTAAAGGAAAAGGCACTTTAAAGACGGAACTTAATTTAAACTTCCTCCTACACAATCGAACAAAAATGAATTATGGATAAACAAAATCCGTTGGAATCCTATTCTCTCTTGATGAACACTTTATAGTGTTAAAGAAATACGTACATTATATTTGTATTCTCTTGGTAGATCCCTGATATGATTTCTATCTAGATACTCATTCACTGCCCTATCACCTTTAAGGATTTTCGCGGTGTAAGGGCTTCACAGAATAACACTCTCCCGTCTGACTTAGTTAAGCACAAAAAATAAGATACGTACTAGAGGTAATGAAAACAAAATTAATATAATGTCAGCGGTAAGCGATTTCGAAATCTGTCCATTTAAGGTTTCGAACCAAAGCTGAAATATTTTAACAGAAGCAAGATAATGATCAATTATTTCATACAAGTTTCCGTAATCAAAGCAGTCCTTAGAAAGACTCTTTCTAACGAACTGTATGCCAAAATATCCTTGTCCTTGAATTATCATAATTGGAAATAATATTGGCCAACTATGAGCACATTGTCCATACGTTTCTTTTTTCTTTTCTTCGAAATATTAATAAAGAACAATAACAAAAGTATCATTTAGATATATTTAATACATGCCATGAGAAAACATGGTGATAAAGTTTTTTTAAGTGATTTAGTATGATCTTTTATATGATAAATTATAATGTTTAATCTAGATCACTTTAATATATGCAATATAAATAAATCTAATATAGGATTACGTATCTCACACTTGCTAAAACATCCGTATAAAATTCTTTAGTGATATGTTGATATGTTTGATATGTTATGTATGCAACATATTACATGTATATAGTTTGTATCTGACCAGTTGGTATTTCCAATATTATCATTGTTCTATTTTTAGAACATAAACTACATGTATGTACTAGAACTTTCTTAATTGTTGTAGATAAACTCATGCATTATATTTAGTTAGAAACTTCCGGACTGTTCTTTATTGTTGAAAGTGCTAGATTATGATTACACTAGAACATAATAGACTATTCTGGAATGTTCCTAGTTTATATATATTACGGCATATTTTTCATTTCTTTTACCTTTTAAGTCATCAGCGATCTATTAAGTCATCAGTTACCTTTTAAGAAATCAATATATTTGGAGTATTATTCAACTTGGATATTAAGTGAATTATTGGAGCTTGGATTTTAAAATAAATTATTCTTGTGGATTTTATTGTGGGAATTTATTCTAAAGTGTTCTTGGATTTAACTTGGATTTAACTGTGCTATTCAAAAAGGATCATTCCAGGATCAGACTAGACATTTGTAATTTTCATTTTTATTTGGACTTCAGGTATTTGTTAACATAATTTGTTATTTTATTTTTCTTTAATAATTTTTCTGTAATAAATTTGTTATTGTTACAAGTTTGTTGCTGGCTTTTCTTTCTCGTTACGCCTGGTTCATAACAGGAATTGGGGGCTCGTCCGGGATTTGAATATTTCTTTTTGGCTACAATATTGGAAAGTATTACCGTTTATTTTACATTTTATTATTACCGTATTTACTCATCTGAGTTGATATCATAGTTGTTCTATTAAGTGTACCTTTCATTTTGAAATTTTTGAAACACATCACTTTCTGAGTTTAAAACCAGCATCAAGCAGTCATGTCTTTTAATTTAGAAAAGTTTGTAGCTGAACCTTCCCAGGAGGTATTAGATTTGGCTAAGAAAACTGATTTGCTCGATCTTGCAAAAAAGTATAATTTATCAGAAATTAAATCTTCAATGCGTAAACAAGAAATTAAAAATCTTCTGATTCATTATTTTGTGGATGAAGATATTTTTGGACAAGATGCACTTTCTCTGATTGTTGAAACAAACCCAGAAATTAAGATAAAAGAGCTTGAACTTCAATTTAAATTTGAACTAGAAAAAATGAAATTAGAAAAAGAAAGGGAAGAAAGGCAGTTACAGTTAGAAAAAGAAAGGGAAGAAAGGCAGTTACAGTTAGAAAAAGAAAGGGAAGAAAGGCAGTTACAGTTAGAAAAAGAAAGGGAAGAAAGGCAGTTACAGTTAGAAAAAGAAAGGGAAGAAAGACAGTTAGAAAAAGAAAGGGAAGAAAAAGAAAGGGAAAGGCAGTTTGAAAAAGAAAGAGAAGAGAGAGAATTTCAGTTAAAAATGAGAGAATTAGAAATCAAAGAGAGAGCAAATCAGTTTGAACATAGAATAAATTCAAAATTTGATGTCACTAAAAATATTAGGCTTATTCCACCTTTCCAAGAAAAAGAAGTTGATAAGTATTTTCTTCATTTTGAAAAGGTTGCTGAAAATTTAAAATGGCCAAGAGAGCACTGGACATTACTTTTACAGAGCGTCTTAACTGGTAAAGCTCGTGAAATCTATACACAACTTACTGTTGAACAAAGCTCTAATTATGATAATGTAAAATAATTAATTCTGAAAGGTTATGAGTTAGTACCAGAGGCCTACAGGCAAAAATTCAGAAATTCTAAGAAAGAAATTGGTCAAACCCATGTCGAATTTGCAAGGGAAAAAGAACAACTTTTTGATCGGTGGTGTCTATCTAAAAAGATAAATAAAAATCATGAAAAGCTCAGACAGCTCATGTTAGTTGAAGAGTTTAAAAGTTGTATTCACTCTGATGTTAAATCTTTCTTAGATGGAAAACAGGTAGAAACTTTAGAAGAAGCTGCCCGTCTAGCTGATGATTATTCTTTAACCCACAAAGTCTCATTTTTAAATAAAGGGAAGTCCACACCCTCATATTTTAATTCCAAGTTCAGTTCTGGTAATTTATCTGGCTTATCTAGTCAGTCAAATACTCCCAAACCAAAGTCATCTGATGAACATAAAGGTCATAGTCCCTTATCTCGTCCTACATGCAATTATTGCAAGAAAACTGGACATCTTATTTCTGATTGCTTTACCTTAAAAAGGAAGCAACAACAACGTGATGAGGCCAAACCCACAGGTCTTACCACTTCAAGGTCTGAACCTCAGTCTTGTATTGATAACAATGCAATTTTGAAGGTCAAAGAACCCAAGTCTGATTCTATAATGGAGATTTATGAACCATTCCTTTCGGACGGTTCCGTGTCACTTATCGGTGATACTTGCCCACCTACCCCTATTAAAATTTTAAGAGACACAGGAGCTTCTCAATCTCTTATTTTAGCAGATACACTGCCTTTTTCTGAGAAGACTTCTTCTGGATCTAGTGTCCTTATTCAGGGTGTAGAGTGTGGTTTTTCTAATGTCCCTCTCCATAATATTTATTTGTCCTCAGATTTGGTAACTGGGCCGGTGGCTGTAGGTATAAGATCTTTCTTACCCTTTAAAGGTGTTCATTTATTGCTAGGTAATGACTTAGCTGGAGATAAGGTAGTGGTTAATCCACTTGTAACTGACACTCCTTGTGTGGATCAGATACCTGACCCCATTGAGCAGGAAATTCCTGACCTTTACCCTTCATGTGCAGTTACTCGAGCTATGGCTAAGAAGGCCATTCAAGAAGATAATTATTGTTCAGATATTGACTTAGCTGATACTTTTATAGGTCAGTCTTTTGATAATGAAATGAATTTTTCTCTCACTCCTACTCTGCCTGAAACTCAGACAGATTTTTCAATATCTGACTTTTCTACACCAAGATCTAAAGATCAAGGTCATGACACGCTGTCAAGGTCACAGCTTATCCAGGAACAACAAAATGATCCTGAGATTTCAGTCCTTTTTCAAAAGGCCTTTAGTGAAGATGAAGCTTTACAAGTCCCTGTTTGTTATTATGAAAAGAATGGGATTTTAATGAGAAAATGGCGACCGCCCAATGTCCCTGCTGAAGAGGAGTGGACAGTTAATCACCAAATTGTGGTCACTAAATCATATCGCCAGGAAATATTAAGCTTGGCTCATGAAAAACCCATGGCAGGTCATTAAGTTGTTAATAAAACCTACCATAAAATTCTCAATCATTTTTATTGGCCTGGCCTTAAAGCAGATGTATCTAGGTACTGTAAATCTTGTCATACTTGTCAGATGGTTGGAAAACCTAACCATACAATACCTAAAGCTCATTTACAGCCTATTCCTGCATTTGATGAACCTTTTAGTAGAGTTATTATTGACTGTGTAGGTCCATTACCAAAAACTAAATCAGGTTCTCAGTACTTATTAACTATTATGTGTGCTTCTACGCGCTTCCCTGAAGCTATTCCTTTAAGGAATATTAAAGCCAAAACTATTGTTAAGGCTCTTGTGAAATTTTTCACTTTTGTTGGTTTACCTAAATCAGTACAGTCTGATCAAGGGTCAAATTTTATGTCTGGTATTTTCCAGCAGGTCATGCATGAGTTAGGAATTACTCAATATAGGTCTTCAGCCTATCATCCTGAAAGTCAAGGTGCATTAGAAAGATTTCACCAGACTCTGAAAAATATGATTAGGTCATATTGTTTTGACACGGAAAAAGACTGGGATGAAGGCATCCATTTATTGTTATTTGCTGTAAGAGAATCTGTTCAGGAATCTCTTGGCTTCAGCCCTTTTGAATAAGTATTTGGTCACACTGTCAGAGGACCCTTAAAACTTATAAAAGAAAAATTCCTTTCTGAAGATGACATATCTTTAAATTTGCTTCAGTATGTATTAGATTTTCGTAATAGGTTGACTAATGCATGTGAGTTAGCTAGGGTTAATTTAAAATCAACACAAAGTAAAATGAAATCAAGGTATGATGAGAATGCTCAGGAAAGAAGTTTTAACCCTGGTGATAGAGTACTTGCTCTTTTACCTATACCTGGAAAACCATTACAGGCAAGATACTTTGGTCCTTATACTATTGAAAAGAAAGTCAGTGACCTTAATTATATTATTAATACTCCTGGGAGGCGAAAGCAAAGAAAAAATGTGTCACATAAATATGTTAAAAGAATATTTTGATAGAGATAGCAAAATTAGTAAACCTATATCTTTTGTAAACTCTGTTCCACAAAATCAATGTTCAATTGAATCTAATAGGTGTG